CATTCTCAATCTCGGCTCTAACTGCATAAACCCGAGGCTAATGATACTTTAATGTATTCTTTTGTGATTAAAAGTGAATTACGCGCGGACCGCGAGAGTAAACTAGGTAAAATGGTGTGTATTAAATCGGGAAGAGGCGGCTTTGGGGCATTATAATGATATACATGAAACCGTCGCGATTATACACTCGGCGAGGGACGAATCAAACGCAAACGCAGGAAAAGTAATAGAAAACCAAGAGAAAGTCAGTCGCATCCGCCGAAATGAAAAACAGAGCGCGCTTTTGCTTTGTTCGTTAAAAATAAAACACGCACAAGGCGCAACGAAGTAAGACGTGAAGCACAGGCGAGGACGAGCGCAGGACGAGAAAGATGAAGAGTAGGAGAGCGATAAATATGTATGAGGTGCCGATGGCGTTTCTCTTCGAGAGTGGCGAGAGAAGTCACAAAGGTTCTTTTAATTAGTTCGGCGGCGCGCGCTGCGTTGTAACCGGCGTCAATAACAGCAAATCCGAGGTCCTAAATGATAAATGAGCCTTCTGGTGCAAACGTTCGCGAGATGGGAGGGCGGCGGTGTCAGCGTGTGCGCCGGCATATAGTCGTTCAAACACATCGTTACGCCGCCAGCGTATGTGGAACGGCTTAACTTTTTCCATCCGCGAAAAACCGACTCGATCCGCTTCTTACAGAACCAATACCCGCTTCACGAATAAGCCAAGGGTTTCTTCTGTTCATTTCGGCTCTAATTGAAGAAGGGAGTAAACTTATGCCAGCGATACAGAAATAAGCCGAGCAGAAAACGAAATCATTTTCGTTGTGGCTGGCAAAACATATCTAGTAAATTAAAAAAATTAATTGCAAAATGTGAAAGTGTAGAAGCCGGTGATTAAAATCTCAAAAAAGTTCAAAATATGTGAAGTGTAATCGAGCATGCTCTTATTTGCGCTGCCCTGGCAAAAATGTATAAAAGTTGTCGGGGATATACAAACCCATCTCGTTAATATATAAAATATATATTTCTGTGTGGGGCGGGCGCGGGATTGCGGTGCCGTCATGCCGCGCTGACTGCTTCTAATTTATAACGTTTTTTTTTTCTGCCCGCGCGCCATATTACACTTAATGACAGCGGAGAACGCAACGCTAATGGCGTAATGTGTACAGAAATTTTTCATTTCCGCTCACATCGGATCTAATACGGTCCCTCATGTTCCGAGAATATTTGACGCGCAAGGTCGTGAACGACTTTTTTGATTTGTAAATAGGGAGCGAAGATCTGGGTCTGTAAAGACCCGAAGGACGTTCGAAGGGAGCGTTAAAGGCGGTCGGTCATCGAAGGAGTCGCCCGCGTGCATGCGCGAATCGTAATTCAAAGCGAAATCGGATTTATACTGTCGGAGCGGCAGTGATTGATTGATTGCGCGCTTGATGAATTATGCCGTGGTGCATTGAGTTTTCCGGCATTCCGGCATTCGTAATTCGCAATGGGGTCGTCGTCGCGCACACTTAAAAACCGGAATTTTCCACCTGCAGCATGTGTGTTAATCCAAGCGCTTCGAGCAGCGCATTAAACTTAATACGTTTTTGTGTTTCGCTGCACTTTTTCCCGCTTCACGTGCCAAATCGCGATTGCAGAAATAAGATTTTCGTCGCAGCATGTCACTAAATATTTAAACTGTGCATATAATTGTGCGACAAGGTAGATAATGTGGGTCATGTTGGTTTTGCGTTCGCGCTTCGCTGCAACCAAACGTCAACAACAAGACTTTGAGGCACGGATCGTCGATATAATTACGACAAGTATTTCACGCTTAATGAAACGCACCTGCTTCCGCCTTCCGTACAAAAAGTCCGAACGTGTATTAATACCAACAGAATATGTCAGAAAGCAAATATTAAACGGCGCAGTGCTAAATTTAACCGAAATTGTAACCCAAACGTTGGTACCGCAGCCGCATCCTTTAGTGAGGTGTATGGATTCGGAGGTGAATCCGAAGCGTCGCTATAACAATATTGAACTTCGAGAGGCTGCCACCAAACGCAGAGGCCAAGATGACAGAAGACGCCGTTCCGCAATAACAGCCTTCTCCATATGTAACGCTCATGTATATTCACGGGCGAGCACAAAGCTCGGAAGTAAACAATGATAGGGCGCCCCCTCTGGTCGTTGCGATTTCGCCGCCGCCGTCGCACACACGAGCAAGAGACACAAGCTCAAGATTTTCCATCGTCGTTCGCTCCGGAGGGAAAGGAGACGATGCGCGTCGCTCGCGCGCTCAACAAGCAAAACGACCGCCACCGCTGCCACTACGTGCGTATAAACGGAGGCGAACCGGAGGTCTATATTGCGGCACGTTGTTATAGTAAGGACATATCTGGCGCTCGCAGAGGCGCAATATTAGCATAATCGGATAAGGACTTGCGCGCGCGGCGTCATTACGATGACGATTAGGGCGCGAGTCGTTGATCCGGACCGCAACGGCGGTCATTGTCACGAAATTACCGAATGACAAATTGCACTCGCCATTATTTCTAGCAAGTCACAAAAATCCCAATGGAAAACGAAGAGGAGAAGAAGGGAGCGCTTAACAAATTGTTTTTCCAAAAACATTTCGAAAATGTAAAATTAATTATCCGGCTTACGTGCACGCGCACAGCACACTAGAGGGAACAATTAAACAATTTATCAATTAACGGTAATCGGTAACGAGTAGCTAATAAGCGATAATGAAGCAATTGATCATGCTACATAACAACCAACAACAACAAATAACGGAGCGCCTCGACTGCTGGTGGCGTATCGAGTCGACGCGTCGTCCCCTCACCGCCGCCAGTCGATATATAACGCCGGCAAACACGAAACAGTAATGTTCCGACGATAATATAGGGCCTTGCGACCACAAACGCACCTCACTCGACCCCCCTCAAAGCCAAACATCGCGGTACATAATAGAAGCCACGGTGATAACAATTCAAATTATCAATTTCACCCCCTCTCTTCCAAGCGACCCCAACTCAACGTCCATGTCTAACATTGTATGACCGGTCGTTTAGTAGCGCAATGTTTCTGCGGGTGCTGAACGGCGTCGGAGTCAGACCGCCGAATGTTTCAGATATTGTTGCCCGGAAAGCTATAAGCGACAGTTACTCATCTCCCGCACCAGCCGCCCCCGAATCTGGCGCTGGCTGCTTGTTGCCTATTGCTATTACTCGCGGCCATCGCATTGCTGACGGGAGGGATTGTTCCCCGAGAGTCGTATATTAACCAGACATATCTGAAGAATGTCGTCGGTATGTTCGGGATGAAATCAGTGCCCGCGCGCCCGAGTTCCATATCTCGCGAGTCCCTCGAGCGCAGACAGGATTTCGGATGACAGTGACTCTCCCCGGCCGCAGATGCGAAATTTATGCACACCGAAAACAAAAGCCAGCCACAAGAAAAAATCTTGTCTGAAATCTAATCAAATTCACAGCCTGAAGGCTCAAGTCGGATCACATGAGGTCAGATGTTTAATTAAAACGGGAAGCAATTTGACACTGGTGGCTTCTTATCACGAAAAAAATACACGATTCATTTAAAACTGTTGGTAGTACCGGGAAGAGTATGTGGCTTAATTAATTGCAAACGTGTGCATGTTGGCCACCGATTGCATCTCTATTAATGTAGCTGCGCTAGCATGCGACCTGAATTGTTTTGTGTTGAATTGCTGAAACGCACTTTCGTTGCGAACGTGGATATCGCTCTAATCTAACACGGTCGGTAGTAAATGATTTCGCTCCTTTCCGTCTAATCACAACGCACCAATCTAAACTCCCGACCGAGCCTTATCGCGCGCGCGCTCTGTTTGAGTAACGATTGTTGTACTGTTTTAGAATTTCCAATTGTGTGATGGCGAGAATCGTCGGAATTGCAAATTACCAATCCTAGAGTGCCGAACAAAAACTACAATAGGGCTACAGAGTGAACCAACAAGTTTCAACTACCACTTTAAATACGAACCTAAGTAAAAACAACGAAACTAAACTTAAATCGACAGAACTAACGATAAAATTTAATTGCGTTCAAAAGAAATTCTAATTTAATTATCTACGAATTCGACATGTTCTATTAATGCAATCGCGTTTGTATAAACGCGCTGTAAAATACATTCTCAACACACCAGATTAAAATCTGCGTTTTCTGTGTTCTCTGTGTGTGAATTTATATATAGGTAAAATCTACTGCGTCATATCGCTGGCATTCAAAAACTACGAAATGTACTTACGTTCGGAAATGCATTTGCGTTTCTTTGACTTGCTGCGCAACGCATCGCACGATATAGAGTGTGTGCAAGTGGAGATAAATGCGTGATACGTTCAATGCTAGTCGTAACGTTACTTTGATCACTTACCGTGAAAAAAGTCGCTTACTAATCACATGTGTTGCGTTCGTTAGCGGCGCGATTTTCTCGTGTGCCGGTCGCACACATTTCTATTGTCAATCGAAATTGAGAAAATTGAGTAGCTACTACATACTTGTTGTGTGTCGTCGCGCGCAAATTGGAAATAATAAAAAATAATGAAAATTGCATCCCGAGTCTCTCCGACCAGAAAGCAGCGCTCGCTTTGGCATCGTAGTAGAAGTTTTCATCTGCGCGAGTCCGAGTTAATTCATCTTCATCTTCCGCTCGTCCACGTTTCCACGTACGAACGCGGACGGCAAATTTAAGGGGAGAAAAGTTACTGATTGAAGTTCCAGCGTCAGTTTCTAGTCGGATTGCTCGCAGCAAAACGAACGGCCGAATAAGTAGTAAGTGAAGTTTTTTTCGATGCTCAATATATAGATCTACGTTTTTTTTTTATACTTTCGTGCTTGCCTCCATCAAAGATGTTTTCGAGAGCGAACTTTTTTGATTCGCCCCGCTCGTCGGAATGTAGATACGTTTCGCACTGGTGTGTAAGTGGAGGAGTGTAGGTGTTTACATGTAATTGTCTGGTATGTATGAGTATGTGTGTATTACTCACCTTGATCGCCTCGTTGCCGGATCCTTCATCACCATCACCTCTGATATTTCTCCATATTTGCTAAAGTATTCTCTGAGACTCTCTGCAAGCAGAAACAAAAACGTATTCGTTAGTCATGGTTGCGGTGAGTTTTAATTCGGAGAGAAGCCCAGCGGAAAGAGCATGAAAATGTTTTAATTACTTAAAAAATACGCGTAATGCGGTCAAAAGTCGCCGTGCGCAGCGGGCAGGAAGTAACGGGAATGTCGAGCGCACGCTGCATGAAACAAGGATGACGCGAGCAAAGAGGAGAATCGAAGGAAAAAAGCCATGTAAACGCAGCGATCGGCTTAGAAAAAGTTTTTTAATATTTAATCTCGACGTTGTCGTTTGTCCAATGCTATTGCGGAAACCTATTTTAATCTTCTTTTCAGCTTAGGCTCCTTTAGCTCCACGCCGTTTGTCGTGGCGTATCGTGTTTGTATTTTTTCAAGGGGATAGCGTAAAGGGCGCCGACACAATTTTATATTTATAAAAAAATTGTGTAAACTTTAAACGCTAAAATATCGAAAAGGAATAAATATTATTCCCAAACAGAATATGTTTGTTCAACCTATATAAACGAGTACAACACTTACGTACTTCCAAACCCAAAAACCCAATTTAATTCACATTACGTACGAGTAAACTTTTATTCTATTAATTTTCGCTAAAATTAAATTCAGAATACGGAAAAAAGGACTTGAATACTAAACGTGTTTGGTTTTGACATAGAAAGCACCACTCACCGAAAACTAGACGTAGAAAAAAAGTAAAAAATTCAGATATGTAGATAGAAAAATTCAGCGACGAGGATAAAAGTGGCAGACACAAAGTTTGCAGTTCGCACGTTACACAGTTTTGCGAACACACGACGCATTAAGAACGCAAGTCGGCGACGTGCGTCGAGTGCGGCCGGAGGAGAAGCAAAAAAAGGGAAATTCCTAAACATTAAATCAAAAACTCAGAGCGTTTTACTGAAACTTAGGTACATTTACAAAAATTTATAGCCGCATATAAAATATTATAATATTTTTATGTTGGTGAGTATGAAAAATGCGTCCTCCCCTTCAGCCTACCGACCAGGACTTGTATACAGGGTGAAATAATAAAAAATCTACGTTAAAAAACAAGGATGTGTTTTTTAGATAAAAATTAAATTGCAATGCATCTAATAAATTTGAAATAAAACTTTGTAAACGTAAAAATAAACATCCTGTGGATTACAATACATCTTTCAAATGCACCCCTTGACTATGTGTTTGTGAGAGTCGACACGCCATAAAAGTTGATTTCCCCTCAGTACTAGCACGTTTCACAAAAACATGGATCTTCCTCCTACGTGCAACGCTAGTACTGTCACGATTAATTCGCACTTTAAAATATCATAAAATATTTTGCAACTTTAAAACCCCTTTTAATGTGCGTCGCGTAAATGAATTCCAACGCTAATCTTGTTGTTATATGAGTGACGCATTTTAATATTTAAAAGATAAAAGTTTAAAAATCACGACTGAAAAACACTTGAAAAAGTTAACATCCCCTCTAACACGTTTCGCTCTTAAAAAGAATTTGCACTACAAGCAAGTTTTGGCGAATATTGCACACAAAAGCAGAAAAACCCCGGTCGAACCGAAAAAGTAGAAGAAGCGGAAAACAAGAATGGTAAGTGGCAATTTATGCTCTTAAATCTATACAGTGGAAAAGGGCAAATTCAATTGCGATGTCACGCCGTAAAAACGCTGGGGCGAAAATTCACCTTCCAAACCAAGTTTGCCAAGCGCCTTCACCACCATGCCGAAAATAGCGCACATGACCTGATGCGACCATTCCCCGCCGCTGTGAAGAGGAGTCGACAGCGCGACATCAAATTGTTTTCGAAATTTATTTTCGCATGTAAATCGAAAAATAATCACAAAACACTTATTCTTCGCTTGGGCTCTGCATGCGTTTCATCATGTCGGTGCTGAGCATTATCATGCACACTTCGTCGCCCTGCGACGTGTAACGGAATTACTCTTGCATAACTTGCATAGCTGTACTTTTCCTTTTTTGTGTTTTCTTGCTTTTTTATCACAGCGTACGTAAAACAATTAACCCGCTGCATAAAGGCTATTGTCTGTAGTTTCTTTAGCAATGTCAAAGTGTGAGTAGACGCACTTATATTGCTGCCTTAATTCAGCGAGTGGGTGAGGGTAGATAGAACGTTCGCAATCAAATATCTTAATGGCCGGTAGTGTCTATTGAATGTGCGGTGCGGGTCGTGCATGACGGCCACTCCGGCACGACTTCACGTACGATATTATTCAAAGTCAAACAGGGAAAAATTTAAATTGCAAATTCGCAATCTCTCACAATAGACAACTACGAAACTCGCCGGGGCGCGCACACGAGCAAAAACCGCAAGGCCTCCTAACTAAGCCAGAGCCGGGCACTTGTATAATACATCCATACATGAGGGGCTGTAGCGGTGGCGGCGGCAGCGGCAGCGATGAAGAGTTTCAGTACATAATGCGAGCGCACAAAAAGTCCGCCGCGCCGGACGCGCAGCATATTCGTACGTAGTACGTCATGGACTTGAAAGTTATTAAAATGCATTTTCCACATTGCGTTTTGCGATTGCGATGCAAACGCCGCGCAAGTTTTACTTACATTACTTACTCATGCCACAGCTCGAATGCCGACGTTGAGTCGCATTCTCTTGTAATTTTTTCCTTTTTTTTTTTTCATATGCGCGTCATGCAAGCACGCTCGCCATGCGTTACATCATGTTTCACAAATGATAAATCTACGAAATGAAAACTTTCGGAAAAGAGTGCCGCTGCGAATGATAATGAAAAACGCCGGCACGCCGACTGCGCGACCGGCGAAACGCAACGAGGTGTCAGTCATGTAATTTATTTCTATTAAAATGTTGCTGCACATTTCACTCGAGAACGCACACCTTGCGCAGAATTAAACACAAAAAAAGAGTGAAACAACGTGTACATTTCCAGACGTTTTAATTTTCAGCGCGCAAATTTCGCTCGAAATAATCCGCGGAATGACTGATTCGTAACGTTCGCCGACTGTATAACGCCGTGAACGCTGAACAAGCAAAGAAAGCGCAAAAGGGAAAACGAATTTCCATAATTGGAAAATCCGCATGATATATGCGCGGTTAAAAAAGTTGCCCGCCTGACTTGCCGGCAAACTTAATATTAATAAAGGCTAGAGAAATCAATTTGTCTTAAAATAATGAAAACATCACATTAAGAAAACTCGCCGGGGAAAAACGCCGGATCGAAGCAAAAACGAAAATTCCTTCCTCGCGGCAGAAAGAGGACAGCAAAAAGCAACCGAACTCTATATTCTATATTCCGCATATAAAACGCGATGATAGAAAGAAGGATTTTCGGTCAGTACAAACACACATTCCTCGCGGTTGAAGGAAAAACCCAAAGCGCAAAAAATTGTTTGCCCGAACAAACGCCACCACCGAGACGGAGCGCAACGGCAAAGATTAATAGTTGCAAGGCGAGCACAGCCGTTGTTGCACCCTCTCCTCTAACAAGGACAAACATTTGCAACGTGCGCGCATCGAAATAGTTTCTCTAGTTATCTTCCGGAGCGGCGGCGTAGGGCGCAGTTAGTTAGTCCGTACAGCCCGAGAAGAGCTCAACGCGGCGCGCAAAGGATCATGTGCATCGTTAGTCGTTAACAACTTATGAATTTCCAAGTTCGCCGCCGCGCTACAACCATTATATACTTGTGCAATCTTGTAATGGGACTGCAGCGCAAATTTCCTCCCCAAGCCAATCGTAATAATCTGAGCGTTGAGGTTATGTGCTGAAAAATTGTATAACCACATCAATTTGTTTGGCCAGCGGCTAATAGTTACGATTATAGCAGTTATAATTCAGGTCCGCTGCGTTATACACATTTGATGTGTGTTGATGTTTTGCATTCCGCACTTTGCATTCTGTTTGAAGTAGTTTTACACTCTCGTTTCTTTGCGGCCGCGGAATATTTGAATATAAAATAAATGCGCGCGGCGTGCATGTATGCATGTTTATGATAATTCAACTTACAAGTTTAAATATTCAGGAAACTTGTTTATATACACAGGACGACGTTGGCGGCCGGTTGTGTTGGCGGCGGCAGAGAAACGACAAACGTCCTGCGTTCGCGCTCCCTCTACCCGCGCAGCAAAACAATCTCGCGCACACATCCACCCCCTCATAGTTGTTTGTTGTTTGGCTGAAACTATTATGAGTTTTCTTTCCCGTTCGGCCTCGACGTCGCTGTTGCGTTCGTTTCATGCGCCTTTTTATTGCACGCGCCAGGAAAAGTATTAACTGGGAAAACAAAGCGGAACCGAATGTAAAACTGCATATTTGTATAATACGCATTAAATAAAAACCGCCAGCGAATGCCTGGAAACAAAGTCAGTACGAAAATGAAATCATTACATTGCGGGAGCGATAAAACGCGAAAACTTAATAAAATAATTTATCGTGATTAATTTCAAATTGCACGTTTGGTTGCCTATGATAACCAGCCAAGCTGGTTAATAATAGTTAATAATAGTTGCATCATAAAGCACGTTTTAAACTCGCATGCTAACTAGACATTCATCTAAATACGCATTAGCCTAAAATGTGTAAACATCGCATCTGCATAAACCAAAGCATATTGCAGCGCGCATTCACGTGCATAAAGATAGCAACGAATTGCCGGTATAAAGATAAAAAAGATATTTAGAATCAAAATTCACAGTCATAGAAAATGTTTAAGTGTGTTTGGCAGCATTTAATGAACAAATTATTTCAGTGAACTTGTTTAATGTCAGCCTGTTTGTTATTTATGTAGTATCATTGCACGAACGAGCGAGTAAATATACCGGTGCGTAATCATCAGTGTTTTTTCCTCTCTGTTTTTTTACTTTGCCCTCCGGTGGCACACATTATACTCTTCTATTTTATCCTTTGTTAGGCCATTCACTAATAATGAATATAACAGATAACTATTTGTTTTGTTAAGTTGATGTCCGCATGCACGCATGAAACGTCCGATAGAATATTC